CAAAACAACAACAACAAAATCTGTGTGACTGTCACTGCCATAACTTTGACAGCAAAAGTTGTGACTTTTAGGGTTTTTCCATAAGCTGTTGGAGAAACTCTGTGATTGAATGAGGCCAGAGAAAAAACTTGTGAGTTAGTAAAAAATCAGAATGTCTTTCCTGTGGAAAACACTGGTATAATGAAAAGTGTTTTTAAACTGAATCTTGAAAGTAAAAGAGATTGTCTTTTGAATAAGTTTACAGTATTGGTGGTGTAGCAAAATGTTGATCTGAGGTCCCTGTTCCAGGACAGGTCCATTTCCATTCCAGTTCAAACAGCCTTTCCAGAGGGTGCATAGCAGTGCTGGGAGTGGTAACTAAGAGCCCAGATTCCTGTCCCCAAGATGAATGTCTCCCCCAGAGCCTTATGAAGTTGAATTCCTCCCTCAGGTCATTTGACAGTTGCATTTCTTCCCCTGCCATTTTGTGTCTCTAGCAGAGATAACATTCCTTGGCTGTGGCTTGATGCTGAGGACCCTCTCCTTGGGAGGCAGGGTGTTCAAAGGGCATGAAGATTATAAGCCATGGCTGAAAATCCTTTGCTGTACTTGAGAAAATTAATGTCATCAGCTGATGAATGAGATTAGGTGTGGATCTCGACTGGGTTGTTCTTTCCGTGGGAAGGACTCTAAAAGTGAGCTTGGGATGAAAAGTTGTGTCTGAGTCCTGGTAACTCATTGCTGCTGGTAGAATAAGGGAATAGGAGGAATATCAGCCTCTGTAAGAGAAGGGGCTTGGAGAGAGGGATAGCAATTATGCTGAAGCCCCTGTTCATGCAGGGACAACCACCTCAGGTACTTTCAGCTTCTCACTCTCACAATGAAAGCAGGAAAAACTTCTCTAGGCTTAGCAGAGGTGAAGGAGAAAGGAAAAAACAAATGCCAATTAATCATTGCCATTAGAATATGCTCTGTTAGTGGAGGAGGAGAAGGAGAGAGTCAAGCTTGTACAGATTTACATTTTTGCTGGTGAGACCTGTGCATATGATGTGTCCTAGATAAGCATTGTTGGGTCTTCTTTGTCACTCAAGAGCAAACTGTAACAGAGAGATTTGCATTCTAATTCTGTGATTGTCTAACTCACACCTTGATGTTAACTGGCTGCATTCATATCCTAAAGCTGAGATTATACTGTAGAAGTTTAGTGTTTGAAAAACTGCCACTTGTCCATAACGACTAACCCTACCTTGAGAAGCACTTGGCTAAGCAACTGCTTGGCAGGTTTTCCAAGCCCTAAAGTTTCTATGGTTGTTTCATTCACACTCAGCTGGCCTGACCCATGCTAACACTTTGTTTTCCTTTGCAATTAAAATATTTCAGCTGCCATATGAAATATGTGAGACTTTTTAGACTTGTCAGAAGCTCAGCAGGATGACATTGAGTGTTTGTATAGCAACTTATAACAGTCCCAAGAATAGTTCCTGGATCAACCTTGTGGCTATTTTTTAAACCAGTGAAAAATACGGACTTTTCAATAAATCCATTCTGCTAATTGGCATATGATTCTTTTCCCACTTTTTATTTCACTGTTGGTTATTCGACAGCCCAAAACACATTTTCAAACATGCTGCTCTTCCATCCCAAAATTAACATGTAACTGTGGATTACCCATCAGACCTTGACAGTCTTTTGGTCCAACAGCACATCTGGAAAGGGATTTTGATGTTATTTCTTTTCTTTTTAAAGCTAGAATGTACCAGTTCAGTGGTTATGTGTTTAGCTTTCATTGAATTTTTTTCTTTCTTCCAGTTTCTGTTGTTTTGTTTATAGTTTTTTAATAATCATGCTGTACTCACCTTGTTTTTCACTCTTCAGTGATCAATAGCCATAGGTGTATCATCAGTAGCCATTATTGGACAGAAAGAGGACAGATCCCTGATGTGACTGTGAGACAAGGGGAGTGTGAAACTCGCTCCATCCCACTCAATCTGAAGCTCCTAGAGGAGCTTTTCAGTGCAATTCTGCTCCCTTTGCCATTATAGATAGTAGTCTGTAACCGAATTGAGCCTGCTTTGCTAACCTCAATGTTCAGAGACTTCCAAGGATCTGGTCAGGTTGTTGTCAGACCCATGTGCCTTAGGAATCAGCATATGTGAACAGTCTGTTGTGTGTGAAACACCTTTGACACTTTCTGTGTTGCCAGAAATACAGCTGCAATGAGAGAAAGGCTTTGGTGAAGGCTTAGATCAAAGTTGACTGTTTAAATCAATTAAAAGGTGGTTGGTTTAGATTACATATAAGAAAGAAGTCTTTTGCAATGAGGGTTGGTAGAGCACTGGAACAGGTTGCTCAGAGAGGTGATGAATCGCCTGGAAATATTCAAGGGGCTCTGATCTAGTTGAAGATGTCCCTGCTAATTGCACAGGGGTTGGACTAAATAACCTCTAAAGGTCCCTTCAAACCTAAACTGTTCTATGATTCTACATTTCTCAGTGTGCAGCATCTCTTGATTGACCACTGGGTCTGTTTTCATGCCTGGATGTTTAGAGTCAATCTCTGTTCTCGCTCTGTCTGGTGAATGTAACACTCAAGTGTTGCAAGGAGGAGGATGGTGGCATGTGAAGGCACCTCATGCTGAGGAGGGTGCCCAGAGGAGCTGGGTCATGAGAAAGCCTGCCCTGGGCATGACAGCTCTTCAAGATCTGTGATAAAGTCATCATCACCAGTGGTAACTGGAAAAATACTAGCAGACTACTTCTAACCACTGATTAATCCAGGATTCAGCACTCATTCCAGCTGTTGACAATTATGCTCTCCCTGTGGCTTTGCTGAGATGTGGTGTTTGTCACAATAGATGTAACCTGTTAAACAGATACCACTTTTTGCTCCAGCAAGGATGCCTTTAGTGATGGATAAAATGATTCCAGTGTATGGAGGACAGTGTCCTTCAATTTGTTAAATTTGCCAACTGCTTTGGGAGCCTGTGGGATGAAAGGTGTCATAGAAATGTAAAGTGCTATTATTCATCCTAAATCACTCTAGTCTATTTTCCTAAAAAAAACTCCAAACAACCACATATACTTATTTCCTGTATTTTGTTCAATGTTTGGTTTGTTCCTTTAAATCTGCACACAGAACTGCTACCACTTAGTGCTTGGATCTTGACTGTCTCAGGCATTTTATCTGACCTTTTTTTTAGGCAGTTATTTCCCTTACCTGTTTCTCCAGTTACTTGAGCAATCTGTTTTCTGTGACTAATTTTAAGACACTGATTTTTGGTGCTTTTATTTAAATACACAGTGAGTTTAAGCATGCAAGTGCAGTTCATAAAGCTCAGTGAGTCCAAACACTTTGGTTTACTGCATTTTCTCATGTTCTAGGATTAATTACAAACAGCTGAAATAGAGAGGCCTAATGAAGAACTAATCTTGATATCAGAGGAGGAAAGAGAGATGTGGGGGACGGGAATTCAGTAATCCTCTGTCTGGAGGTTTAGTTGTACCTAAACACTGTCATTCATGGAGCCAAATTAAATTGTCAGTCAAGAACCTGTCAGTCTAAACAAGTCTGAAGCATGAAGAACTTTGCTTTATTTGGCAGTTAACTTTCCCCTTGGTATCCAATTCTAAACTGAAATCAGAATATCTCACAGAAGATAGGGTTCAGTTTGATCCAGCTGTGTGAGGTATTGTATGTAGTGGCTTGTACTCAGAGAAGTTTCAGCTCCAGCTTGCAGATGTGGGAGTGAACATGAGCAAAGAAAGCAGTTCCTCAGGACATCTGGCTCCTCAGTTCCATTGGGACATTTTCAGATCTCAGAGAGCAGCATTTCCAGTATTTTAGTTACTTCTGTAAGGAAAGGAAAAAAGAGAACCCTCCTGTGCATGTTAGAGGGTTGATAATTTCTTGTGTGATATCTGTTGCCATACAGAAAATTTAAACTGGAGTTGAGAAACATTATTAGCCAACAAATTATATATCAACAGGTTCTAAAACTATCACTAATGTATATAGTAGCTCCAATATTGTGTATAGATTTTCCTCTGAAAGGCAATATTTATGGAAAAAGTTGTAAGGTAACCAAAAAAATGTAACTGTAACAATATCTAATGTATGTGTATGGTGGATTTGAACTTGGAGAATATAAAGTAATGGAAAGAACTGAAGTTCACTCCCAAACAGATCTACAGCCAGCAGATCACAGAGAACAGGTCAACAGGTGGACCTAAAAGATGCCAGTGTACAACTGACTGAAAGACAGCAGCTAACAGCTGGGCATCTTCAGAGCAGGGAGTCAGAACCTGCCAGGTCAAATGATTGAATGGAAATAAGGTGGATCAGTAGGGAATGAAACCCAAGGATGAAGTCATAATGACGAGCAAACAGACTGGTGTCTAAATTATGTATGACAATGATACCATAATTTGACTTTTATAATACAGTGCATAACACCATATTGTGTTTTCACTGAATAGTTCTGGGTTTTTTCTGTTCTGGCTGGCTGTTCAATATATTCTAACATATTCATTGTGTCTTTGGGTTATTAAATGTCAAAGTAAACTTTGTTTTGAAATCTAGGCCTCCAGTCTAGAATCTCCACCATTTGCAGATTATCTATGTGTAACTCACAACATTCTTGTAAGTTTTATACCTGTAGTTCAATATCTACTGACTTTAAAATCATCAGTTAAAAGGGTTACTCTGTGGGCAGAAACAGTTTTCTGATTCTCCTGAGGAGCTGTGACCAGTCATGCCCTAGATGGAGGGAGCATGTAAGTTCCTTGAACTTTGATTAAATTGTAGTTTCTACCTCCTTTCTCTACTACTTTAAACCTTTTCTTGTCCAGACAAAACTCATTCTCACACATCCTCTCCATTCCCACCTTTTAAAAGGGGAACACTGAAAGCAAGTATGTGGAAAATATTAATACATTGAAAATAGAAATGATATAGAGATCGAAACCTATCTCTAAGTCTAAAGACTTTTCAAATGTCTTTCTACCCTGGGTGAAGGAGAGAGGCTCTCAAAGAGCATGCCTGCCATCAGATCCCTGCTCTTTTCATCATGTTCCAGTGCTTCTGAAATACTCATCTTTACAACCATGGCACCAACAAGTTGGTGTGAGGTAAGAAATTCCTGTGACCCATTCACTGCTGCTCACTAAACTTTCAGTGGCTATTCAAGCACCTCTGTGAAGGGAAGTGCTTGAATGTTAAGGCATGTTGTGCAAATGAAGTTTTGGTAACTGCAGGTTGAGTTTCTGGGAAGTGGTTCTGTTTTATACCATTTCTTGGCAGCCCTGCAGGAAACCCATGGCTTAGGCATGTTTCTGCTCACTTGTGCAGCAGGGCAGAGCCACCCAAACCTGGCCAAGGGGGCTCATGGGCCGTGGGGATGGAGCACAGGCTGTGCAAGAGGAAAGCTGGAGCCAGGTTCGGCCAGCCAGTGGAGGCTGGGGAAGAGGGGCGGCAGGGGATGCCCAGATGCTGCTTCCAGCCACCTCAGAGTGCAGGGCAGCAGGCACAGCCTCAGGTGCTGACTCTCACAGGGTGCCCAGCCTCGGTGGTAGCACCTGTAGGGGCTTGGGGTACAGTCAGGATGGGCTGGGCAGAGACAGACAGCGGGGCTGCCCTGGAAACGAGCTATTCTGGGTGTCCATCCTTTTAACAATTAAACAAACAAACAAACAAATAAATAAATAACATATGTATGTATGTTTGTATGTATGAATGTATGCATATATATATGTATGTATGTGTATATATATATGTATATAGATATATAGATATAGATATATATGTATTATTTTTAAATTGTGAGGTATTTGGGTGTGGATAGGGTTTGTTGATTTGTTTGTTTGAAGTCATCTGTTTGCACTTGGAGCAGCAGTCACTGGGGGTGACTGACGGGTCGTGTGGCTTGCTGGGGGCCACGCTGCGCTTCGATCGCTGCCGGAGCTGGCAGCCTGGCAGCCCAGGAGGGGCTTGGAGCAGCTTTTAAAAGCCTGGGATTTCCAGCACTCCCCAGGATGAGTCGCAGCTCGGCAGCCCTGCACAGAGCAGATGTGCGGAGGGGAGGGAAATGCTTTCGGCTGAACCCAAAAAGTACGTGCCAGGAGGAAGGCTTCAGGAAGCGGGAGCTGGGCGGGGAGGAGGGAAGGGAGCATTTATCTTCTGCTTTATTTTCTAAGGAATGATTTAAATGAATTGCTTCTCCTCTGGAAGGAAAATCTCACTGAAGTTGTTTTAATGTGAATTTTGTTATTTATTTTCTCTGTGTGTGTATCTGTGTGTGTGTGTGTGTTTGTCTGACCCGGCTCACCCAGAGGGAAATCTGTTTTCTCTTTTGTGCTGTTTTGTTTAGATTTTTAGGATTGATTTGGAGTTTAGGCTGATGGGAGAACTGGCTGTGCAAGGGGTTGATGTATTAGGAGATTTCTTATGATGGTATTTGTTGCATCATCAAGAGCTGATTGATTAAACCTTATTGTGATCTGATCCATAATAGCAGGAGCATTTTTATGAGAAAGGAAATATAAATGAAGTCCCAAAGCAGATTTTACTGTTATCCTTTTGTGGAGCCGATTAACAGAATGTAAAGTGACCTAAATGAAGTGCTGTAGAAAGGCTTGTCAATACAAGCGTTATACATTAAGCTAGGATTATTTGAACACATTCATAATGAAAAGAGGATTTTCTTGTGCATTACAAATTAGTTATGATGATTTGAGGCAGAAGACTGAGATAGGTCAAAGCCCAGCAAGCTAAATATAAAGAATTTGTGTACCTCTGTCCTCATACAGCCCCATCCCTGTATACCCTGGCCTTACACCATTACAATATTTTGTAGAGATTTTAGGTCAGAAGATTTACTGCTAAATCTTTGGCAACTTGTGTGGACTTATTTTCATTAGCCAGCCCAGCCCTGGCATTCAAAGAAGTCTACCAAGAATATTTATTTCTAGTCTGAAGAGCAGAAAAGGAAAGTTATGGGAATTCTGTGGGAGAAACTCCAGCCTGGGAGGGGAAGCTGCAGATTTTGTTTCATTGCAACAGGTCCTGGAAAAAGTGAGACAAAAAGTTGGGGCAAGCTTTTTATAGAGTCCTTTTAAGTAATAAGTGGCAAGTGAAAAGAAATTTGAGCATGTAACTCATAACTCAAATTTATTTACCAATATTGTGTTCTGTCACTGCTGAAGGTCTTAATTTTCAGTTTTTCTTTTTAATTCAATTTTTACCTGTGACCCTTTTTGCTGTTAAATTTTCTCTAAAGTTTTTGAGGAAATCCAGGTTTTGTTCACTGTCATTATATACTCACCAAATTTTCAACTAGTTCACATCCTGTATTGCTTTCTCTTGCCACAAACTTAGCTGTGCAAAATGATATGTATATAATGTGTATATATGTATATGCAACTGAGTAAGTTGATCAAGGGATCTAAATTTGAAATTTGGTTGACTTTGTTTGGCTTCCTTCAGAGGTTGCAAATTATCCCCCCCTAGGATGTCCTGTGTTTCCAGTGCCCTGAGGTGCCAGCCTGGAGAGAGAGGGTGGCTGCTGAAGATGATCTGCTTAGTCCAGCAGTCCCTGGCTAGGCAGCTGGGAAGCAAAATTCAGTGCACAAACAGGACCCAGAGTAGAGATGTGTGTCTGCATATTGTTGCAGGTGGTTAAGCAAGGCTGGTCATACCCCTGAGCCCCCAGGGCATGACAAAGCAGTGTTATGCATAAGATAGTTCAGCCTTTGGTATCAGTGTACCTGAGAGCTTTGCAAAGTTAGGCAAACTTAATAGAAGCATGGAGTTGCAAGACATTGCAGCTGCAGTACAAGTCAAACCCTCTCAGTTCTGAAAAGCAGGAAATCTTAGTGTACAGATGCAAGGCAATTTTAGTAGCTACTCATAATGCAGCTGAGAGGAAGCACCAGGCTGACTTGCATGAATTGATTGCATGCTGCTAGACACTCTTTATAAATTCTGTGATAAGGACAGCCACCTTAGGAAAGGTTTAAATAAAAATATATTGTCCTGACTTCACATGCAGCTTTGGTAGGCACTGGGGCTTGGAAGCGTGCTTAGCAGGTAAATAAGTCAGCAGTCAGAAATGCCTGGTACAGATGGTAGTCAGTAGCTGAACGTGTGATGTGGCACATGCAGAATGCAGGGCATGGTTCTAGGATGCAGGCTGGGGCTGCTGTGCAGCTGGATCACCCCGTGTGCCTGGGCCAGCTTCTTGCACTGAGGTCTGAGCTGGGAGTTACCACCTGATCCTGCTGAGAACAGCCCAGGGAATGGTATTGGCAGCTTCGTTTGACAGATTTGCAAAGTTCAAACATGCCCTAAGCAGAAAACCCAAGAAATAGGAAGATGGACTGCCATCAGCACAGCTGTGCTCCCAGTGAAATGACTGACTAGGTGAAACCAAGCCCTTGCTGACTGCATGATGAAATGGGCAACATTTAAAGAGCTCTAGCTAATCTAGATCTGCTAAAGCAACAGGAAAGAATTCACTTCGTGCTTTGCAAAGTTAGTAATGCCCAAAAAAGGACTTTATCTCAAGTGAGAAGGAAATTTATTTGGGTTTGAATTTAAAATAGGACAAAATACTTTCATCAAACTTTCTGCAACCAATAATGTAGTGCTCAATAAATTACTTGCCTTTTGTTGAGAAAGAAAAATACACATAGTTTCTTATATACCTGGTATCTTTTGCTACAATTTCTGTACTGAAACTCGTGCAGGTACTCAAATGATATAAATGACTTTGCTAGGGAAAGAGTCAGCATGGCTTACAAACATGCAGCGTTGTTGTCACTGTGCAATCGCTGCCGTAAGAGGTCCCTCCCTCCATGGTGCTGCAGAGACCATTGCACCATAGCTGAGTGATGGCAAAGGAAGGTGACTTCAGGAGCACCAGGGAGACTCTTAGTGGATCAGTGCTGGTGCTACAGAAAACTCCAGTGGCACTGCTGTAGGTAAGTGCCAGTGAGTTACTCCTCAAGCAGCTGGAGAGGGAAGGCAGCGTGGCTCAAATGCTGGAGGGCTACAAAATCTGCAGTGTTTGCCATCCCTCCTCCATGGCACAGGAGGTAGCAGTCTGATGGTGTCCTGGGTAATGCTTAAAAAAACTTAAATAACCCAGTTGTAACAGAATTATTTTATATTTTGAATCAATGGCTGTCAGATTGCTTTGCACTCTGTCATTAGCTCAGTGTTTGATACAAGAAAACTAATAGGAATAAACTTTTGCTGAAGTTCAATGCAATTTTGCAACTAATAGTAGCTATTTGTGTTCAGCAGGCTTTTACTCCTGGAGAAAACTCAAATATCTCTATCTACCCCCACAGCTGTTGTGAGCAAATTGCTCCTTCAGCCATTCTTCCATTGAGAGATGCTCTTTAATGTGATGCTTTTCCAGAATTGGGTGGACAGAGGAAGGTCTAGTGTGAACTCAAATGACTAAAGGCACACACAGGGCTTTGTTAGACTTCCGTTTGTTTTTTGAGATTCTCTGGTGCATATTACTTTGCTGGCTTTTTTATATGCTTTTTAACATAAAGGTTCTTTTCTGTAAATGGCACTTGTCTTCTTAACTCAGAAAAGGGAGCTGTCTTGTGCTGAGATTTTCTGTTCATGATTCCAAGGTTTTCCAAGGCGATGTAGAAGATGCTTCAAATCTACACCATATCCAGACATAATCATGAGGGTGAGAGGGAGATGACGTTTCCTAACATTGATGTGCCAGAATTTCTGTTAGTTTTTGTAAAGTCTTGAAAAGTGGCCTGTAGAATTAAAACAAGGGACTACATTAAAATAACTGCATCATCCCTACTTTTAGTGGGTTACACATTGCAGTGGAGAGGGAAAAGATGAAGCTCCTTTCACTGCTGTCTCAAAATTTTCTTGAAGCTTCTCCAAACCAAAGTAAAGGCATTTGCTTTTGTGTAAGATATTGGTTCTTCTCCCAGGATAAGCACTGCCATGAGATAATTTTCTGAGAGATAGAGACATTACTTACACTATACACACCTATTTCCACCAAATGTCTCTTTTTATGCTTTGTTAGTTTAGTACTTTAGAAATCTAAAGTTCTTTTGATTGCTTTAATTTCTCTCTAATTATGCTC